CCAAACCCTGCAACAAACCCCGGTGCCAACTCTGTCCACATATCTATTCAAGGGACACCATCATAGGACCTAATCACATCAGCCACACCATCAGGGGCTCGTTCACCTGCACATCTACCAATGTGATATATGCCATCATGTGCCAGCAATGCCCCTCTGCCATGTACATTGGCCAAACCGGACAGTCTCTACGCAAAAGAATAAATGGACACAAATCTGACATCCAGAATCATAACATGCAAAAACCAGTAGGAGAACACTTCAATCTCTCTGGTCACTCAATAACAGACCTCAAAGTGGCAATTCCTCAACAAAAAACCTTCAAAAACGGACTCCAATGTGAAACTGTAGAACTGGAATTAATTTGCAAACTGGACACCATCAGATTAGGCCTGAATAAAGACTGGGAATGGTTGGGTCATTACAAAACCTAAACCTAATTTCCCCAATACTAATTTCCCCTACTCACACCTTCTTGTCAACGGTCTGAAATGGGCCACTCTCATTACCACTTCAAAAGTTATTTTACCTCCCTTGGTATCCTGCTGTTAAGTGAATTGTCTCGTTAAACTGACCTCACACTTGGTAAAGGCAACTCCCATCCTTTCACGTATTTATACCTGCCTACTGTATTTTCCACTCCATGCATCTGATGAAGTGGGTTTTAGCCCAGAAAAGCTTATGACCAAATACATTTGTTAGTCTCTAAGGTGCCACAAGGACTCCTCGTTGTTTTTGTCATAAAAGTATTCATTAGCTCTTTTAGCCTTCTTATGAGATTTGGCTATTCTCTTCACAACGGGGCAATTTGGAGATGGGCTATTTTCCAAAGTTGAAACAGTAGCTCTGAGTTGTCTTCCCATCTGGAGTTGCGCCGGATTGGATCCAGTAGTTGCTGTTGGTGTTGATCTGTAACTCAGAAGAGCAAGGAATGGATCGTCCTGCAGTAGGATTTCCTTGGCTGTCTGCCCAACTCTCTCAGCCTCTCCATCGCTTGTGGGTAATGTGGGCTGCTGGGAATATGATCAAAATCATATTTCGTGCAAAAAATTTAAATTCTGCTGCGGCGCTTTGTGGTTTGTTGTCCATCGCTGGTTGTTTTGAATGCCAAAGGGAGCGAACAGGCACATCAGTTTCTCGATAACACTGCAACATGTTATATCTTTCAAGTACATTATCTCTATATACCTGGAAAAACAGCCCACAACAACCACAAAATGTTATCCTCTGAATTTACATAAGTCTGCAGCTAATCTCTTCCATGGTCTGTCTGGTAGAGGTGTTTGTACACTGTATGGTTCAGCATTGTCTCTTACAGTGATTTGTACTGGATCTCCTTTCAAAAGCCCAATATCATCAAATCCTCCGTCGAGTTCTTCCACCCTCCTCGCTAGGCCCATCATGGCTAGAGTGACCAGATAGCAAGTGTGAAAAATCGGGACAGGAGGTGGGGGGGTAATAGGCACCTGTATAAGAAAAATCCCCAAATATCAGGACTGTCCCTATAAAATTGGGACATCAGGGCTGCCACGCTGCGGCTGGGTCTTTGATTCTTTGATCTCACTCTGAATGTAAAGTTCTTGTCTCTGTAAGTTGTTTCTGTGGTGAACTGGCCCCTGCAGTTCAGAGCTGCATCAGGTGACTTCGGCTCTGGGAGAAGTCAAAGGTGATTGTAAGTCCCTTTTGAGATGACTGTGACGTCAACTCCTGAGTCAATTTAAAGTCAATAGTCTTGCCATGAGTATTCAATTTCATTCTCCAGGCAGGCTCTACGTCATCACGAGTGATAGATCCCAGAAGCCATGTTTCTTGATGGTCTGTAATACAAGTCAAATCCGAGACTGGGGGGGCAGGGATAGCTCAGTGGTTTGAGCATTGGCCTGCTAAACCCAGCGTTGTGAGTTCAATCCTTGAGGAGGCCATTTAGGGATTTGGGAATTTAGTTGGGGATTGATCCTGCTTTGAGCAGGGGGTTGGACTAGATGACCTCCTGAGGTCCCTTCCAACCCTGATCTTCTATGACTTCTTTGGTGCAGCAAACAGCTGTAAAACGTCCCTATTTGGTGCAATTATTACACCATGCGCCTCTAGCTGGACATGCATCATCACAGTGCAGACCAAGCCGAAGCTACTTCTAGGTGTTTCAAGTTGCTCCTGCCTTTTGTTCTGATGTGTGACGAATTCTGACTGTTTTGCTCTCTGGATAGCTGCGGCTAGGGTTAAATCTCTCCTCAATCGTAGCTGCTGTGAAAGATTTTTATCGGTTCACCCAACAACAAGCCTGTCTTTGATATTTTCATGTTTTGCATTCCCCGAAACACAGTTTTCAGCCAATGCAGGCAGAGCTCTTAAAAAAACTTTCAACATTTCCCTGTGGTTCTTAAATTCTCCAGTGGAAACACACTCTTTCATACACGGCTTTTCTCCGAGGTGTACAGTATGCATCAAACACAGCCAGAACCTTTCCACCATCATCTCTGTGACTGGCTTCACTAAAGTCAGAGGATTTAAAGACATGCTCTGCCTGCTTCACCGTAACACACATTAAAGACGGTAGCTGGATATCTCCAGTTTCTTTTTGGAGCTTGGCAGCAATGCGAGATCTTGTAAAATCTTAGAATCATAGAATCTCAGGGTTGGAAGGGACCTCAGGAGGTATCTAGT